TTTACCATTTCAACTTTGTTGATATATCCAAATTATTTCGTTACTCCCACCGACGTAGCCCCAAACAATTTCTTTCGAAACTATCAGCCCTTTTTCATTTAACAGTTGTTTGCCGGGCTGTTCTCGCTGATTTTCTAACTCCTTATTCGGAATTTCCTTGACCAATTCTTATTTGAGTATCAAATAATCCGGCACTTTTCTCGTTTAAATTGAGTCCAGAGGTCTGCTGCCACCGTCTCAACCAGTTGCAAAACTTAATCGAATTCCTAGCTGGTCACTCGCCTTTTTCCGCCTCGTTAGACAGTTTAAGTGACGCATCTGAGGGTTGTTACTAGTTCCTTTCGGTATTTTATTTCTTTCTGAGAGGCTGTTGTTACTGCGTCGGTTTGGGTTTTGGACTCTCAAACGAAATTTCAAGGAGCCAATGACAACTGGGAATAAAGTCAAGTAAACTGCGTGCAGCCTGGGAAGACGTCAAGGACCAAAACACGATTGGTTTTTGAGGAAGGATGACGGGTGTTTTTTCGCTCTATCATGTACTGATACAGTCCCGGATTGCTTTCGAAACCCAACTGAAAACTTTTACATTGCTTGTAACATGGATTGGAAAGAGCTAAACCTTTCACAAAATATTCAACTTCGCTAGCTTTCTGAACTTTTGAATTTACAAGGTAATTACCCTGATCACTTCCCTCAGACTGATCTGTAGTGTAAACAAGAACGTCATTCCGGCCATATTGCATAATACTAAAGTGGTAATAAGAAATTCACTATTGACCCGGTTTGTTTTACTACAGAAAGCACTGGACGCGAATGAAGATTTAACTCCCCTTGGTCATCATTTGGCCGCTTTACCAGTCAATCCCAGAGTGGGCAAGATCATTTTGTTTGGTGCTATATTCTCGTGTTTAGATCCAGTTCTAACTGTGGCGTCTGTTTTGGGATTCAAGGATCCTTTTGTATTTCCTTTGGTAAGTTCACTCATCTCATTAAAGCAGTTCTATTTTTTATCATTAAGTGGCCTTTTTGAAAAATTTCTAGAGCTAGGATACTCTACGGCGACTCGGGAATTTTTCTGTGGTCTATGCTTATGACAGAACTCCGACTGAAATTTCAAACTTCCGTCGTAGCCTTTTAAAATGTTTTGAATATATTTTCAGGGAAAACAAAAAGAAGCCGAGCAAGCCCGCTCTAGGTTTGCTGGGGACACTCGCAGTGACCATCTTGCCCTATTGAACGCTTTTCAGGTAAATGTCTGCCGGTTCCGCCCTTATGCATGTGTTCACAGTTAGAGTCACTTTTTTTTTGCGATGTGCAAAACCACCTTCATTTTGAAGGAAGCTACGATATATCAGTTTTGTTAGATAGAAAAGCACAGAAGAGGGAATGAAAACCTACGAGGGAACAGCAAATGTAAGAAACTTTAGGCATAATTGGTAAAATCATACAAACTATCGCATAGTTCTTTTGACATTTATCTGAAGTAATGTATTTAAAGAGGCACTATTTTTACATATTTTTTGATCAACATCACATTAAGTCGACAACTACTTTACCTTGAATCTTTCCCATCGAAGCTGCTGAGATTGGATTTTAAATTCATTGAAGTGTTTCTTTTATTGAAGGGTTGGGAGACTTCTGTTCGTAAAGGGAATGAACGAAATTACTGCTGGAGAAATTTCCTATCGGTGAACACGATGAGGGTAATTCAATTTATTGATCAAGGTTGTAGGATACAGTGATCCAAGATGACATTGGTTTTTTTTTTATTATTATTTCTTCGCTCTGTGATTGGTGTAGAAAACTCGTGCCAACCTCCCAACCAATCCGATGCAATATTAAACTGATGGCGTGTTGGTCAGACGCGTTTTCCCGCGCTTCAGGCAGTATACTTCTCAATACCTTCCGTTCTCACTGGCTCCCTGTGATAATTGCCTGTGTTCTGATGGCTGTCGTGATAACTTAGGTTGTGGGGGTACGATCTTGTATTGATGTTTGTGAACCACTTTGCATTCCGTTTAATTTCCACTAACGATTGAATATAGCTCTTTAATATCAATTTAATTTTTTGGCTGATAAGGGGTAAGAATCATCACTCAGCCCAAACGCGAGGCACCTGTCCTGTGAACGTGAATTCCGTAATTGTATTTAACCCGCTGACTCACTTAAACATTCTTGATTTTACCAGTGACAGCCATGTTACTTACTTTCCTGGTTCGTGAATAATGTTTCAGATGATTAAAGATATGAAACAACAGTTCTCCGGATTACTTTATGACATTGGTTTCCTAGATTTAGCCGACTCAAGGGCCCCTTCCGCTAATTACAATTCAGGTGAGTATTGTCTTTCTCCATACAACAGCATTAAACATGTCGTGAGAAAATTTTAAACTATCTTCGTGAGAGTGAATCTTGGGGCTGAATTTGAGTGCAAATTGAATTAAGCTGCTGTGATAAAAGTTTTCACCCTGTCAAGATTTATCCAAGCAGCTTCGATTTTCCGTCTTGGATTCCATTCTGTTGCTAACAAGATCGCCATTTCCTTTGCAGAGAATTTAAAACTTGTGAAAGCCATACTTTGCGCCGGGTTATATCCAAATGTTGCTAGCATCAACCACCATCCTAAGTTTCTAAGGTAATGACCCTCTCGCGTAAGTACCTTCATTGTCGCTTTCTTTGTTGTCGCCTCTTATGGAAAGGAAATAATAGAAATGCGCAAATGTTTGTGGAATAAAAGTTCATATTATGTTTTCAGGCCCCCAAAGCTTCGAACTCATCAAGATGGTATTGTTTATTTGCATCCCAAATCAGTGAACGCTGAAGTCAGAGTTTATGAAGATAACTGGTTGATTTATCACGAAAAGATGAAATCCACCTCTGTAAGTAGAAGGCAGCCTTAATATGATGCTCCGTTTTACCTCATGGAGAGTTTTTTCAACTTAGTGTCGTAAAACTAGCACCAAGATAACTATAACAGACATTCAAATTAAGAATTTGTTCATGCTTAGCGTGCGTATATCGAGTTCTGGATGCACGCGGGAAGTTTGGAGAGCACGAAAAAATGCGCAAGAATAGCTCGAGGCGCAACTGAGAGCTACTCAAGCTTTCTTTCCAGATTCCCTTTCATTAAATTGTTACGTTAGTATCTCCCGCTCTCTCCAGATTCTCTTCCATTTATTTGTTACTTCACTTTCTCACGCACTCTCCAGATGCTCTTTGATTTGATTGTTACGGTAGTATCCCGCGCATTCTTACGAAGATATTCTTTCATTTGAGTGTTAGTTATGTTTTTAGCGCACTCTCCAGATTCTATTATATTTGATTGTTACGTTAGTATCCCGCGCATTCTTACGAAGATATTCTTTCATTTGAGTGTTAGTTATGTTTTTAGCGCACTCTCCAGATTCTATTATATTTGATTGTTACGTTAGTATCTCGCGCACTCTCCAGATTCTCTTTCATTTATTTTTAGGTTAGTATATCGCGCACTGTCCAGATTATTTTTTATTTAATTGTTACTTTAGTTTCTCCTGCACTCTCCAGATTCTCTTTCATTTAATTGTTACTTTAGTTACTCGCGCACTCTCCAGATTCTCTTTCATTAAATTGTTACTTCACTCTCTCACGCACTCTCCAGATTCTCTTTGATTTGATTGTTACGTTAGTATCCCGCGCATTCTTGCGAAGATATTCTTTCATTTGAGTGTTAGTTTAGTTTTTAGCGCACTCTCCAGATTCTATTATATTTGATTCTTACGTTAGTATCTCGCGCACTCTCCAGATTCTCTTTGATTTGATTGTTACGTCGGCTTCTCGCGCACTCTCAGATTCTATACAGTATCTAGACAGTACTCGAAGATAAAAGACGTATCCCCGCGCGGCCATGTAATGATAGATGGATTTAGCAAGAGGACGGGAACGTCATTTCAGAACGAGAGAGCGCGCGGAATGGTCTGGACACGACACCATTCGACTTCCGGTGTTAGCGTTGCCGTTTTCCCAAACAAGATCTGTGGGGTCCGTTTCTCGAAAGTCCCGGTAACTTAACCGGCCCGAAGCCACGTTTTAAAATCAAAATTTAAAAAATAGGATAGCAGGTTCTGGCACCCAAATCAGTCCTTTTGTTTCTTTAGCTGATAGTTTTATCATATCATTTTCAAAACTTTTGAAATCCCCATCTTGAATGAAAATAGAACAGCTTTACGGGCCCGTTAAGTTACAGGAGCTTTCGAGAAAACGGCCCCAGGACGTCATTTCGTTAGTTTTCCCTTCGCGGTCAGAACGTCTGCGATTTGTGTAAATTGTGCTCTTGTAAATCGATGCAAACGAGATAATACTATTTGGAAGTATTCCAAACTCATCTCCAGGATAATTGGGTCTCTTTCTTTCTTTCTTTCTTTTAATCGGTGTAATTGTGAAGATTTACCGCTACAATTTACTGGATTCCCGAAAGGAAATTAGGACACAATCGTTGGCAAGCGATCCAAGATTTCAGGACTCAGTTCGCTTTTGAATGAGCAAGGCTTTAGAAAATAAAAGGGCTTTTTTAAGCCTATATAAAAACTCTAAGAAATGGGATGCTGTCGAATGTTATCGCAAATCGCGCGGCATGTTGAAGTTTAGGGCAGTCAAATTAAATATAACTAAGTTTATATACCGTACTATTTTTTTATTTGTTGTCGTTCTCGTTTTCACCGATCGCGAACGAATGCTTTGCGAATTAAAGTCAGAGATAAACAATTTGAGAATTTGCTCGGGTTTGCACTTTTTTATGTCAAACTTTTTAATAAGCGCCGATGAAAACAAGAAAGTCGTGCTCACGCAACAAAAGAAAATGACAATCAATTTTATTTCGACACGACTTTCCAAATCAAGTGATTTAATTTAGTCTTGAACGACTTTGTCGTAGTATCGCCACGGTTTCCGGTCTGCGGTCGCTTATTAGTTCCCAGGTATCCTAGTGTATATAAGCGGTATTCTAGTCGATGTAGAAACCGTCGCCATCTTCGTGCTACTGGAGAGCCTTTTCAGCTCCGAAGTGATGAAGTCCCTGACAACGTTCCAGTTGACGACTCCAGCTCGTGTGTAGCAGATCGCGGAGAGCATAGTATTAGCAGTGCCCCTGCACTCCCTGTAAGTGGTGCCTGCTCCTCTGCTGAGCCACCCGAGTCTGTATCGCAAAGTACAACAGCGGACCCTTCTCCTGTGCAGCCACTTCGTAGATCCATTAGAAGAACTAAGGTTCCTGATACGCTGAACTTATAGCATACAGTGTGAACATGCGTCTACGCATTTGCTTTCATTTCTAAGCGAATAGTTGTTGTAATCAGTTGTTTTTGTTTGTTTGTCTTTTTTTGCCTTAAGAAGAGGGGGATGTCGTAGTATCGCCACGGTTTCAGGTCTGTGGTCGCTTATTAGTTCCCAGGCCCCCTTGTATATCTAGCGGTATTTTTCTACATCGACCAGTGTACGTGATTAAAGGGTGTGTTTGTTCTCCGACTACGCCTCCTAGTTTCTTCGCGAATTACAACAGACTTCGTTAAAACCAAAAAAGAAACAAACAAAGAAACAGAAACGAAGTCTCATTCCTAAAACTAACTGTTTCATGGGTAACTTGTTTGAGTTCTATTCATTCTTTGAGCTTTAAATTAGAACTCATCGTAAACAACTTCGTCGTTGGGTCGCTTGGTTTCTACATGGTTTCGTCAAAACCTCTTTCATTTATTTTTAGGTTAGTATCTCGCGCACTCTCCAGATTATTTTTTATTTAATTGTTACTTTAGTTTCTCCTGCACTCTCCCGATTCTCTTTCATTTAATTGTTAAGTTAGTATCTCGCGCACTCTCCAGATTATTTTTTTAACTGGTTCTTTAGTTTCTCACGCACTCTCCAGATGGTCTATCATTTGATTGTTACCTTAGTAACTCTCGCACTCTCCAGATTCTCTTTCATCTAATTGTTAGGTTAGTATCTCGCGCATTCTCCAGTTTCACTTTCATTTGATTGTTACGTTAGTTTTTCGCGCACTCTCCAGATTATTTTTCATTTGATTGTTACGTTGGTATCTTGTGCACTCTCTAGAGTCTCTTTTGTTGATTGTTACGCCAGTATCTCGAGTATTCTACAGATTTTCTTTCATTGGATTGTTACTTTAGTTTCTCGGGCACTCTCCAGATTCTCTTTCATTGGATTGTGACGTTAGTATCTCGCGCACTCTCCAGTTATTCTTTCATTTGATTGTTACGTTAGTATCTCGTGCACTCTCCATATTCTCTTTTATCTAATTGTTACTGACGTTAGCATCTCGCGCACTCTCCAGTTATTCTTTCATTTGATTGCTACGTTAGTGTCTCGCGCACTCTCCAGATTCTCTTTCATTTGATTGTGACGTTAGTATCTCGCGCATTCTCCAGTTATTCTTTCATTTGATTGTTACGTTAGTATCTCGTGCACTCTCCATATTCTCTTTTATCTAATTGTTACTGACGTTAGTATCTCGCGCACTCTCCAGATTCTCTTTCATTTGATTGTTATGTTAGTATCTCGTGCACTCTCCAGTTTCTCTGTCATTGGGTTTTTACGTTAGCGAATTGGTCAAAGTTTCTGATCGGCTCAATGCAAATAAACTAACTTTAAATGCTAAAAAATCTAACTTTGTCATTTTTCGTCCTTATCAACGTAGACTAGACCTTACAGTCCATCCTGCACTCTCCAGATTCTCTTTCATTTAATTGTTACTTTAGTTTCTCGGGCACTCTCCAGATTCTCTTTCATTGGATTGTTACTTTAGTTTCTCGGGCACTCTCCAGATTCTCTTTCATTTGATTGTTATGTTAGTATCTCGTGCACTCTCCAGTTTCTCTGTCATTGGGTTTTTACGTTAGCGAATTGGTCAAAGTTTCTGATCGGCTCAATGCAAATAAACTAACTTTAAATGCTAAAAAATCTAACTTTGTCATTTTTCGTCCTTATCAACGTAGACTAGACCTTACAGTCCATATTCAAATGTTTGATAATAGTAATCATTCTTTTACCTCTCTTGAATGTAAGGATCATATAAAATATTTAGGTGTCTTATTGGATAGTCATTTGAGTTAGAAATTTTACATTGACAATGTGGCACTAAAAATAAGTAGAATAATTGGAATTATTGCCCGCTTTCGGCATCTAGTACCTTGATCACTCTGTTAACTATTTATCGCTCTTTGATCCTCCCTTACCTATCCTATGGCGTGGCTGTTTGGGGCCAAGCTGCTAAATGCCATTTACATAAAATCCTCGTCCTACAAAAACGTGTTCTTCGGCTGAGATATTTTTCTGAACCCAGAGCACATGCGGGGCCTTTATTTATTTATCATCTCGTGCGTTGGGTTTCCTTGGAGCCCACGAGAATTCGAAGTACAGACATGGAAACGGTAATCAACACAGATAATTATAGATGACTGACCAAGTAGTTAATAAGGTGGCTGAGGTTATTAGTTTTTTTTTTTTTAGGCTAATCATAGAGTACTGCGAAATTCAATACAGTCCTTAACTACTTTAAACACAGCTACGTACGCGTGTTTTGTTTAATCAGTGCGTTTTTGTCCACCTCTAGCTCTTCCTGTATGACAGCACTATGATAGCACCCTTTCCTCTCCTCTTCTTTGGCGGTGAAATTTCTGTGTTTGTAGAAGAGGGCTACGAAACAGTCGCTATCGACGATTTCATCAAATTCAAGTCTCCAAACAGAATTGCGAATTTAGTCAAGGTTAGTATTATTTTCCCTACAATTAATCATTTTTCTCACCAGTCGGTGACGTATTCCAGTATAACGAAATCCTATATGTAAATCGCGTGTTGATTTATTGTCGTTAAGCTAAAATAAAAGATCACAGCGGCACATGAGAACAAAGGAGGACATCTCAAAAATTGATAATTCAATTTAAAACCAAAGAAGTTGCTCGGGAAAAATATTGGTTTTAGGTTATTTAATTTAATTTCATTGTTCTAGAGAGTAGAATTGCCTTTGATATTCAGCGAAAAATTGCTTGGATACGAGACAGACTAGCGCTGATATAAAATCTCATAGCTAAATTTGCAACGACTCATCGCCTTTCCTTACGTTTCTCTCTAATTACCACCTAAAAGACCTATGTCAATTCTAGTTAATTTATTTGAAATGAACGACCCTTTGAAATTCTGTGATGTTAAGATGTTTTTGTTTTGAAATCAAATACCTCCAAGCCGGACTGTAAAAGTTTATTTTAGTAGGCCATTATTTTTCAGAAGTGTTTTAAAATATGTTTACATTATTTATTTGCCCGTTAAAAACGACAAAGTCTCGACAGTTTCTTATTTTGCTTTCGCAGGAGTTACGAGTCGAACTGGACAAACTGCTTAGACAGAAAATCGCTCAGCCGGATATGAAGCTAAGCGTGGGGACTGGGACGGGTAACAGGGAAAGTGCTCTGCTGCGAGCAATAATTGACTTGATCACCAGCGAGGAGAATACAAACTGGGTGAGAGACTATTGTGATCCTTTCCGTACTTTCTTAGCATTTTTTTGGACTCCTTTCAACTTTTTGAGAAATGTAGGTTTTCTCGGAGAGGGAACTTTGTAGAGCAAAGTCGTTATTATTATTTTTTTAATCTCTCAGTGAATCCTCATGCTTCCTCCGTCTTCTAAGTTCTTTTTGTTCAAGTTGCAGGTTTTAACACTCTTACTCTGAAAGCTTTCCTTGAAAAAGCTTTTTGCTTCATTTAGAAATCAGGAAAGGCCTAGTTGAGCACAAGGGGCTTTTTTAAGACACAGATAAAGCTTTGGCTAGGGTTCTTCATATGTGAAGTCCAGTTAGTGGTTTGATCGTCCGTGCTCCGAGGGTTTCTCCCGGTTCTTTGGTTTTTTCCTCCCTCGCAAAGACCCAGACCTCAAATTCCACTTGAAAACCGCTTAAAAAGAGGCAGAGCACTGCTAAATTAAATTCATGTACTTATTTATTAATGTTAGTTTAAAACGGAGACGTTCTGAAATTTACGGCTATATCCATGCTGCATAGCCAGTGATTCCCGGGAATTTTGGGCAAGGATTTCACTCTCCGGTTGATTTCCTTTGAAGTCTATCTGGGAAAGTCTTACAACTTTATTTTTGACAAGTCCCCATGCTCGTAAACTGGCGTGCTAGCCTTTAGGAAGCGAAGACTGATCAAGGATGTTACACTCTTAGAAGGAAAAGTCTACTTCAGCGAGTCTTCTCAAATTTTAACTTTTTCTCATCCGCAGAGAAAACAAAGAGCTCTTGCAGGAGAAGAAGGAAGGACTTAAAAGAGTACTTAATATTCCTGGAGAGGATTTCTACGGAATTGGACACAGTTCAATATAACAATGTTTCTTTAAGATGCTGAAAGATGAAGCATATTGAGAAAAAAAACCTTCTTAGTTGGAGATTACGGAGAAGGGTCCTTCCTGACTCACCCCACGGCGGTTCTTCATCGAAAAAGATCAAATACATTGACTTATTTAAGAACAGTTATTTAATCGCTCACCTTTAACAAGTGATAATCCTCGTTTCTTCCGTTAAATGTGTATAACTTTAAATGAAAAGTCGCTTTATCCTTCAAGTCATTTAATTTACTGGTTGGATCGGTTCAGGAGACGAGTAATAAGCGACTACTCGTGATGCTGCCTTGATTTGATACTATGCAAGGCTGATGTATTTTGTATTGTTTACGGCCAACATCTTTTATCATAGGACTCTGGTCGAAATTTGAGATCTGTCCACTAATGCAATCAGTAACAAAAATGGCGAAATTTCGTTAATATGGTCAAATCCACCAAGCTAATTTCGCTTTGACGAATTTGACTAAAATTCATCAAAATTGTCAATTCCCCCAAGCTGATTTTGTCACTGCGTGCATTTCTGGACAAATAGCTAAATTTTTTATACGATTTCTCAGGATCGTCATCGCAAATTGATTTAATTAAATTTGTTGTTATTCTTAAACATGTTACCAAAAGGACGTAAAGACAGCAGAGTGACAATAACTCTCAAAAAAGAAACAACTTTGAGTTTAAATTTACAAGACATGTTTCGACATTCTCATGTCATGTCATCACATGTGGCTATATTAAGTGGGAAAAACCCATTCTTAATCAGCAATTGAAACATCTAGAATTGTCTCGTTCCTTTTAACTATTCTGCCGCTTCAAAATACGAAATTAAGATCAAAAGAGGCATTGCATATTAAGTGGGAAAAACTCATTCTTAATCAGCAATTGAAACATCTAGAATTGTCTCTTTCTTTTTAATTATTCTGCCGCTTCAAAATACCAAATTAAGATCAAAGAGGCATTACATATTAAGTGGGAAAAACCCATTCATAATCAGCAATTGAAACATCTAGAATTGTCTCTTTCCTTTTAATTTCTGTCATCACATCACATTCTCATGTCATCTTCCCACTTATGTTGTTCCTTGGTCTTTTATTTTATTATTATTTTATTTTTTTTTTTTTTTTTGCTCTAGTCAAGCGCGCGCTATTTACATTTTTCGCGTTTTCAACATTCAAATATAACGTAAGCCCTGACACGTAATTTGTAACGTACCTTAATATAAATTCAAATGTACAACCGTTAAATGCTCATTTGCAACTGAAGATGACATGAGAATGTCGAAACATGTCTTATAAATTTAAACTCAACGTTGTTGTTTCTTTTTTGAGAGTTAGAGATCTGTCAATAATACAGGTTGTCCAGACCTCCGTTTTGAATTCTAGAAGAAGTATCGGCATTTGTCAACTGATTTCAAGCTCTTGATATATTACGAAAAACACGGCGCATGCGTACTTTGGACGCCCGAATTTTCTAAGTTTTATGGTGGGAAAATTGTAACGAGTTGATAAAGAAAAAAATTGGCGCATGCGTATTAAAGGCGCCTGTATTTTTTTTTTGGCGGGAAAAATTAAATTCTGACTATGGGTTACTAAGGATATACGTCAACTGAAACTGGCTTTGAAGAAAGACTATGGGTTACTAAGGATATACGTCAACTGAAACTGGCTTTGAAGAAAACCTAAATTTCTTGCGTCATCTGTCAAAATGAAATCTTGTCAATAAGTTTCTACTTGTTCTGTTCTCTTCAAGATTTTTAACACTCGCGGGTAAATTTGGAAAAGTAATTTAGAAAATCTTCGCTGCAATTCGTTTCGAATAACCTTGCCTGAAGGAGACCAGTTAACTTTATTTTCTATCTTTACTGTAAACTTATCTTTCGCTTGAATCGTTGTCTTTAAGTCTTGAAGTGAAACATCACGGTCATCCAACAAGCTGTAACAAAATAATAGAAAGAAAATTAATTTCAACTCAACGCATTACCCTCGAAAATTCAACAACTATACGAAACCTAAATGATAAAGTCTGAGACATAAATTTACAAACATTTTCATCTGTTTTAATGTTAGTCAACATAGTGTTCCGCGCAATTTTAGATACGCTGTAAATTAAATCCAGCTTCGCCTTCCTTGTTTACCAATTAAAGAGTTACACGAAACTTCTACATAGTCTCATGAAAACCAGTTTCCAAAATCATAGATATTTTTTTATCGGGAGAAATGTAATTACATAATTCTTTACACCGTAATCAATTGATTTGTTTTTGCTTTGGAGCTATTTCTTCTATTATTTCTTACTAGCGAAGAGTTTTGAAGAACTGGATGGATAAAAATAGTTGTTTGAGGCTCATTAAGATGCAAACAAACGTTAAAACTTCTGAACTTGTCTTCGTATATTTATTGGTCAAAAAAACCCTGCATTCAGATCACACTTCTATGACTAAATGTACTTGCTGTGAAATACTATAGCTCAATTTTAAAGATTTAGCCTTGATCATCGATAACAATCTTCAACTCTTTGCATAGAAGGTTCTGTAAGCTTAACTTTCGTGTTTCTGTTTCTGTCTTCAACTGCAAGTCTTTAAATTCTCTCGATCAAATTTGAAATTCAAAATTTAAGGTGACAATTCCGCCTGAATGACTGTATATCATAAGTGTATGAAAACGCCCTTCTATCGGAAATAAACAATTAATGTTCTTTTGATCAATAAACATTAACGACCGGACACAATTAGTCTCCGCAGAAAATATTGGGCTTTCGGTTTAAACAAAATCAGGAATCAATATTTCTATTTGATTTATATATCATAAAATGGTAGCTTACTTTGTTTTCGTCAAAGACGGTCTTGATTGAGTGTATTCCGATGACATCAGAGTTCTTTGTCTATCACAATGTCTTTTTCTATCCACGTTGTCAGATTTCGATATTTCTTGATCCAAATATTCCTAGTTTTCTTTTTCAGGGTGTCCAAAACCTCTAAAAAAAGAGACATACATATTGATTATTTTGCGTCATGTAACTTGCACGTTTCACTGTCTCCACTTGTCAGAGATAAACTTCGACCAACAAGAACAATAAAAAGCTCATTACAAATTCTCCTACCCTATAACACTTAATATATGATCATTTTTAGCTAAATTGAACTCCTCTAGACATCTACGGTAGAACCGCTAGTAAACCGTACAGTTTTCTATTTAAACATTGGTCTTGTCAACTAACATTTAAGATGAAGACATCTGCATATATACATGACACACATTCACACACACTCACCATCAACATGATTTACATTTTAAGACTTTTAAAAGTATAACAAGTCAGTCAAGTTAAGGCAAAATTAACACTAAAAGTCAACGGTCGGAGCTAATTCGTTTCTTGCATCATTCTGATCTGTAGGTCCTTCAATCTTGAAATTGACAGAGAACATTGTGTTCAACAATTAAGAATTGTTTCATGCTTAGCGTGCGTCTATCGAGTTATGGATGCACGCGGGGAGTTTGGAGAGCACGAGAGAAGCGCAAGAGTTGCTCGAGGCGCAGCCGACAGCAACTCTAGCTTCTTGAGTGCTCTCCAAACTTCCCAAGTGCATCCATAACTCGATAGACGCACAGCTAAAAGCATGAAACAATTCTTTTATAACATACGAAAACAATTTGGGCGCTGAATGACGTT